CTAGTTCCATACTTTATTTTATAAAATAATTTATGTGGAAATCATTTAAAATTACTACCTACTCCTAAAAATTACAATTTGAATTTACCGCCATCTGTCAATTGTCATTTAAGTTCCAGCTCCAAACACAAGGTGGCGCTAATTTGGTTTAAAAGTTTAACATTGGCGTGGGGTCTCTAGAAGATACATGCCACGGGGGTTTATAGCATATGCGCATTTTGTCAACAAGTTACTGCGCATCGAAACTGGCGTACGTCCGTTTTACAATAACACAATTATATATAAAATATAAAGAAAACAGAATAATTACAAAATATCTCAATAAAAATGTGTTATTAACTTGCCAAAAGTAATAGTTTCACTTTTTTTTTATTTATCAATCGTAAAATTGAAAAAATATGAAATTATTCAATTATTTGTACAATGTAAACCTGGCTTTGGATAACAAAACCCAAATCTCGTTAATGCTCGAGTCGACTCGATAAACGAAACCCGAATGATACAAAATACAATATGGCTGTCGATGTAAACAATTCTAAGTGAGTTTTACTTTTATTTAATACAGTTTTAGGCATAAATTTAGTAATAATTTACTGTAAGTAAACTTATTTTGATACTTTTGCATGTCTATGTCCTATAAATGCATATATTTGATTGTAATAGCAAATTGTTCTGGCCCATTTACACTGTTTTAAACATTTTCATTTTATTGTCAACTGAAAAAAGGATTATTATTCGTATTCGTAATTGTGTTATCCCCAAATATTGAAATCCCTAACAAAGTTTTAATTCTGATATTCATTTTGATAATTATCCTAGATATGCCAATTTAATTGTATGTATTATAACCAAACTTTTTAATCTTTATAAATCTAAAGTATTTTCATTACATAAAGCAAGAAAATCTTAATTAGACGTTATAGAAATTAGAAGTAGTAAATTAAAAATTAGTTAAATCGCTGCAAATGCAAAAGTAATTAGTCACATACAATCAAAATCATGTGCTTTAGGAAGTTTTTCGCTTTCAACAATTGTTTTTTTTTTCTTTTCGTTTCAGGATTTATGGATGGAACTCTTGTTTTATTTCTCACGAGTGAAGAAAAATTATGTTCGTTTTGTGTTATTTAAAATAGTTGTTTATTCAGAAAATATATATTATGTTTATTGTTGTAACCAATAAAGATTCAACAAATAATATTTAGTTATAGTACAATTTTGTATTATTTATTTTATATCTCTAAAATTATTTAACATAAAATTTTACATTTTTATTAGCATTTTTTAACACGCATGAGATGCGTGTTAAAAAAATGCTATTAAAAATGTAAAATTCTTATATTTTGTCGAAGTAAATTCAAAAGCCCGCCAATTTTCAAATTAAAGTAGCATTGCAGCTTTTTATATTACCGACTGAGTATTAGTTGCACAAAACTATCCCATATGTCGCTGAAGGCAAACATGTTGCCATATTTATACAAAGAAACGGCAACTCTTAATTATCCTTCCTCCATGATACATGCTTTGTGAAGCTATGCGTTTGACATTCACTAGGGGAAATACCCAAAAAAGTAGCATTGTCGTTTTAGCGGCTATAACAGAATCTGTTTTATGATTAACGCGGTAAAGAAAAAACTAAGTGGCGCTGAAAAATCGAAGAAGGCTTGAGATAAAGAAGAAAAACATCAACATTTTCTTCGGAAGGTTCAAAAGCTAGATAGTTATTGCATTGCAGCGACTTCAAAAAAATCTATTGGAGCAAGATGTTAATACTAGCAAGTTAGCAAGTCAAGAAACAGACATGATGACTAAGAGTAATAAGGTAAAAGTAAAACTCTTCAAAACTATTTTCTTTTAAAAATTTTGCTATTAGATGTACTCTTTTACTTTAGGCAGAAATAAATAATACCATTGACGAAACTTCGGAAAGCAGTAAAACTGTAAAAATTATTAATTCATCTACTATACCAGATTGCCAAGAAATTAAAGTAAGACCTAATGTACTCGTATATTTACAAACCAAACTGCATAAAATAATATTTTAAATGAAAGCCCCATTACATAAGTTTTTTCTGCAACTTTCACTACTTTCAGTCAAGAATCCCTGGGCAGGACAGGGATTCTTATGTGCGTACTTGTTACGGGCAGTGTTATAAATTGGGCACTGACGATATTGACCGGACACTAACGTCAGCAGAATGCCCAATCAAATAGGAGATTTACGAAAATGACCGGCCAATATCGTTAAAGACCAAAATATCATCTTTGACCGTAACATATAACGAATCAAATAGAGAGAGACATTACATACAAATCGTATTCTCTGGAACGAAGATAGTCTTCTCAACACGTGCCGTATTGAAAGATGAGAATCCCAAATGCTGGACAGAGATTCTTAAGTGCGAACTCAACGCATAACGAATTAAATAGATAAAGACATTACATAAGAATCGCATTCTGTGGAACGAAGATAGTCGTCACAACACATGCCGTATTGCAAGATGAGAATCCCACGCAATGCAGGACAGGGATTCTTATGTGCGAACTCAACACGTTACGTGTTGAATAGAGAGAGGCATTATATAAGAATCATATTCTGTCGAACGAAGATAAGAGGCTTCTCAACACGTATTGAAAGATGAGATGAATCATATTGCTATTATCTTCATACAACGATATTGCCGATCATAAAATTATATTTAGTACCTTTTACTGAAATTTATTACGTTTTAGTGCGCCTGTCTATTACTATTTTTGTTGGCCCAAGAACCAGTGTTGCTAAGTCAACTGATTTTTCAGTAGATCTACTGATTTGGCTATTGGTCTAAAAAAAATTCAAGTCATAAAAAATCACAGCAATACACGTAGCGGGCAGCCAGCTGTTTTTAATAACTTTCCAGGGAATTTATAGGGAATCCCCTGCATTCATTGCTTGTTTTTTGACGTTGTGTGTTGTGTTTCAGAGTTATTGAGTTACATATATAATACATTCAGTGTACGCTGTGGTATGGTATATAAACAGCCAACACGCGTATCGAGCAGGAAGATCTACAGAAACTGCCCTGGTACAGTTAACTGATGTAATCCAAGATGCACTGACAAACAAAGAAACGGTCGTGTGTGCCTTCCTAGACATAGAAGGAGCTTTTGACAACACGCCACACGAATCTGTAAAAAGAGCACTTGCATACAGAGGAGTAGATAACATCACATCCAGATGGATGGCTCAGCTGTTATCTACGAGAACTGCAGAGACACAGATAGGACAGGACACCATCTCCATCTGCACAACCAGAGGATGTCTATAAGGAGGAGTTCTATCCCCACTAATGTGGAGCCTAATCGTAGACGAACTTCTATGCAGATTGACTGACCTCGGCATACCCTGTTATGCCGACGACATAGTCATATTTGCTAGTGGCAAGTTTAGTAATATCCTGTGTGATATAGTCCAACGAGGACTAGAACATACCAAAAGATGGTTCCGTGAAGTGGAACTTAGTATAAACCCTACAAAAACAACACTAGTAGCCTTTTCAAGGAAAAGAAAACTTAATCTCAAAACCGTTAAATTAGACGGGATAGATATAGAATGGAAAAATGAAGTCAAATATCTAGGCCTAACCCTGGACAACAAACTTCTCTGGAACACACATGAGAAGGAAGTAGTAAATAAGGCCACAAAAGCCCTAATGGTATGCAGAAACATTGCAGGTAAACGATGGGGATATAACCGAAACATACTGCGATGGATGTATACTGCAATAGTGAGACCAATCATCACTTACGGGGCTATAGCATGGAGTAACAGAACTAGTCTAGCTACTACGAGAGCTAATATCTCAAAAGTACAAAGACTAGCCTGTGTTTGCATTATTGGTGCAATGAGAACCTGTCCTACGGCCGCAATGGAGGTGATCTTAAACCTCACTCCTCTACATTTGATGATAGAGAATGTGGCAAAAAGGACACGATATAGAATGATCAGGAACGGAGTAATCAGACGAAAGTCTACTTGCTTTAGGACTAATTAAGATACCTGCGACATGCCCCAGGATGAAATGCAGAAGAAGTATAGTTTTGAGAAAAACTTCAAAACCACAGAGCTTAGGCTGCAAGAAAGAATGGAGCCAAGAATCCATCGAGCTTGCAACCGAAAGACGTGCTATTCAGTGGTATACGGACGGTTCCAAAACCATAGAAGGAACTGGAATAGGAGTGTATGGGCCGAGAACCAAGCACTCCGAAAGCTTGGGAAAATACCCAAGCATCTTCCAGGCGGAAATTCACGCCATCGAGAAGTGTATCCAGTTTAACAACGAGAGAAACTATCATAGACAAGAGATTAGCATCATATCCGATAGTTAAGCAGCCATCAAAGCGCTGAGCTCTTACGTAATCAGCTCAAAAATGGCCTGGAGATGCCTAGAACAATTGAATGAGCTAGGCGAGAAAAATAGAGTTACTCTCACTTGGGTCTCAGGACATAACGGGGTACAGGGTAACGAGATTGCAGATAGTCTTGCAAGGAAAGGGGCTCAAACACCTTTGTAGGACCTGAGCCGTTCTGCGGTATCAGCAGTAACATAATATTAGGAGAGATTAAAAAAGAATTGGGCAGTAGAAGAACCGATAATTGGAACAATCTCTTGGGGCTGAGACAGGCCAAGATACTTCTGGGTGAATATAACCAGAAAAGATCGGAAGCCTGCATCTGCCTGAGCAAGAACAGGCTACGTATTGTAACAGGGATCCTTACCGGGCATTGCCGACTAAAAGGACACCTAAGTAAACTGAGAGTAGTAGAGGATAGGGAGTACAGATTCTGTGAGGAGGAGGACGAAACCTCCATTCACATCCTAACTGAATGTGTAGCACTCCAGAATCCAAGGGCACTATATCTAGCTCTATATCAAATAGGAGAGGGAGATTTACCTAACTTGAAGCAGTACAGCAGTACACTGAAAAAAAAAAATATTATTATAACCTGGCAACACTGCCAAGAACAACACTGCGTCCACGTGGTCCTCGACTTGTGTCTGTCAACGAATATTCAATCTTCTTTTTTTTGAGCGTTTTGCGAAATCGCCGATCGAATCAAAAACTGTAGCTATCAGCAAGCTGTTATTTTTAAGATTATAAATAATAAATAGAAATATTATTTAAATCCAAATACGATGTCGGCAACAGGTGAAACGTTATCCAAGAAGTAAGTTAATAGATTTATATTTTTCAACTTAACCTAAAAGTATGATGCAAAGTTTTCGCCTTTTGAGGAGATATTTCACAATAAATAATGGATTATTACAAAAAAGTAAAAGGTACGTTAACATAACTCTTCTTATACTAATTACAATTATTGTTTTTTACAGTGAGCTCAAAAGAAGACTTAAGGCTGAACAAAAAGCCAAAGAGAAGGTTGAAAAAAGTGAAAAAATATCTGACCAGGTTAGTCATAAAAGTAAAGAATCCAAAATAAATGAAGAAGAGGTGAGCCCTAACGAATATTTCAAATTGAGATCAACAGCTGTTGAAAAATTAAAAAGTTTAGGTGGTGAAAATTCCCCCTACCCTCATAAGTTTCATGTTTCAACATCTTTGGAAGATTTTATACTAAAATATTCTAATTTAAAAGAGGGAGAAGTTCTTGAAAATGATAAACTGAGTGTTGCCGGAAGGATTCACGCTATTAGAGAATCTGGACCAAAGTTGGTATTTTATGATTTGAGAGGAGAAGGTACTAAAATTCAGATTATGGCAAATGCGAGATGTTATGAAGATGAAACCAATTTTGCGATTGATACAGGTAAGTTAACCATATTGTTACTCTTATTAAGTTATAAACTATATATTCGTTTAAATTTGTATTGTTTTAACCTCCGAGCAATTACTACTAGAGGGAGCATGAAACGAGTTTGTAGGCGATTGTTGTGTTCGCAACATCTGTAGAGGAAGCGGGCACAAGGGGGAAGGTAAATTCCCCTCTTGTTAAGTGGGGTATCATTTCTCTGTAAGAATACACATTGTCCAAAACTTTTTAATTGTATAGAAAACTAAAAGAATTTACTAATTTAAAATGTATACCGTCTTATATGTATGTCTGATTTATTTATATATTTATTTGTATCCAAACAGGCCAATGGCTAATAGATAAAAGTATCATAATACATAAATATTAATAATAAACAGTAGGTAATTATAACTAATATTACAACTTATTTAGTATTAAAATTAATTAAGAGTAATGTAATAATTAATCAAGAGTAATGTAATAATTAAATACAAGTTTTCGGAACATATTAAATGGTAGTGTCCAGTCTACATCAATACAAGTGTTAATATTATTTGCCAATCGGAACATGGTCACAAGAGGTGACCTGACAGTGGTAAGAACTAAAGGAATATTAAACATACATGGATGCAGGAAATAAAACAAAATTTCTGTAATGGTCTAATTTTTTCAATTAAAGAATACTTAAAACCTCAAAACCAACACATCAGTTTTATTATAAATAAATACAGGAAACTAGATTCGGCCTCACAGGGACATCTTCAGACCTGTAATACAATAATCCTTAATTATTTTAATAGGAACGATATAAGAATAGGTTGATAACTTACGATTAAAATTAAATAGTATAAATCACAAAAATGGATCCATATTGTAGCATTACAGTATTGTAGAATTAAAGCTGTGGAAAAGGAAAAATTTTATTTTATTTATTTTTATTTATTTATGTAGTAGTTTACATTTATATTAAACAGTAATATAATTAATTATAGGAACAGGAGAAAAATAAATCACTCTATTACTTAACTACTTAATTCCTAAATTGAGGGCACCCTCTAAATAATATTTAAAATGAAAACTTCTACTATAGTGCACGATTGTACTTAAAGTACTGTGTGTGCACTCTTTTTCTTATACATGTATCTTTGAGGTTTTTTTTTTATTTTTTTTTTTTAAATAACAAAAAATATATCTTATTTAAGTTAAGTATAACAGATTTTTGTACTAAAGTAGTAGAAATGTGGTAACAATAATTCGATAGGAGATAGTAAAATAAGTATATATATATATGAACAATAATTTTGTGATATATTATTTAAAATTAAACTTAAAATTAAACTATATAATTAATTACATAATTGCTTTGGAGTATCCACTGTCTTATCTCTTTTTTACACTTAGAATATGGTTTTACTTTAATATCATTAGGAAGGCAGTTAAAGATTTTTGGACCAAGACAATAAATATGATGTTGGCAAATGGTGTGCTTGGGGTTTTGGCGTGCGACATTGTTTTGAGCTGCATTTCTTGTGTTACGCCCATGGCTTATGGATTCCTTATAGTAGGAAAATTTTAACATGAATCTAACTACTGCTTTAAGGTGTAACTATCTAATAACTGACTCTCTTTGAAAAGCAATTCAGTAGGAAACCTTTTATTTTTAAATAACATAATTTTTATTATATATTTTTGTGCAACCTGTAGTTTGTTTAAAACCGTCACTCCGGCACTACCCCAAACCACCAACCCAAAATTGATTCAGCCAGTGCATAATACACCATCTTTAATGTGCTAAAACTCAAGACATGGCGTAACTCATAAAATTTATATATTAATTTCCTTATTTTGCTTGTCACATAGGTAATATGTTCTTTCCAAGTAAAATTTTGATCTACAAGAACCCCTAAGTATTTTATACATGTCACCCTTTCAATCAATTTATTGCATTCACAATTCTGGTTTAGATCACATTCATGGTTATGTATTTTTAGGTTTTCAAATTCTGGTAGTGAGCGTGGGAGAGAGCAAAAGTGACAAATTTTGTTTTGTTGACATTTAAGGATAGTAGGCTATTGTCTAGCCATCTCTTGATTTTTTGCATTGCTTTCTCTGCACGATCCTTTGTACTCTCCCAATCGTCACCCCAAATCAGTATACCAGAGTCATCGGCAAAGCAGATCACCACGCCATTCTCAGCCAAAACTGACATCATGTCATTGATGTATATATTAAATAATAACGTTGAAAGGACTGTCCCCTGTGGCACACCAAATTCTACTTCCATTTCTTCACTAACCTCATTTATGATTTTTGTACATTGCTTTCTTTCTAAATAAGATTTGATTAGGTTATTTGGTGTTCCTCTAATACCCATACAGTTTAAACGTTTTAGTAGAATTTGGTGTGCCACAGTGTCAAAGGCCTTTTGAAAGTCAAGAAAGATACCTATAACTTTTTTCCCTTGGTCCAGTTTCCCTAAAATTGTCTCAGTTACTCTACATAGTGCGTTCTCAGTACTGGAATTTTCCCGAAACGCAAATTGATTTTCGTTTAGTAATTTATTTTTTTCTAAAAAGGATAACATTCTAAGTTTAATACATTTTTCAAGTAGCTTACTTATTGTACTCGTTAAGGCAATGGGTCTATAATTATTTGTACTTTTTTTGTCTCCCTGCTTATATAGTGGAATTATAGTTGCTGTCTTAAAGATTTCGGGAAAAATTCCAGTACTGAAAACTACATTTACTAAGTGTGATAATAGCTTTATCAAGTATTCTTTATATTTTTTTACAAGATCGGAACTAATACAGTCTTTTCCTCCCTTTACATTGTTTTTCAGGTTGTTTATTTCCTTGATAAGCTCAGTGTCAGTGATTGGATTCAAGTAGCAAGATTTTGTTACCCTTTGGATGCCCTGTTCTTCTACTAGTACCACAGAATTTTTAATTTTTTGTGCAAGTTTTTTACCTATTTTTGAGAAATAATTATTAAATTCATCCGCTATTTGTTTTTTACTTGAGAGCTCTATGTTATCGGAACTGATTACACTTTTTATTTCTGATTGGGTGTTATGATCATTTGTGGCTTCTCTAACTACTCGCCATAGTTTTTTTGGGTCTTTCAAATTTTTTTGAGCAAGTTTTTTATAAAAAGAATATTTAGCATTTTTAATCAGTTTTGACAGCATAGATCTATAGTTATTATATCTCTGCAACAAAATTAAATTATTATTATTTAATGTACATTCCCTTTTCAATTTGTTTCTATTCCTAATTGATGTTAGAATTCCCATTGTTATCCATGGTTTCATTATCTTTTTTTTACAAGTAATTATTTTTGTTTTTGTGCATCCTATTAATATGCTTTTAAACCTATCTACAAAAATACTGGCACATCTGTCAGAGTCCCAGGAATTGAGCACATCATCCCATTTTGCCCCCTGCAAACAATTTTTTAATTTTTCATAATCAATTTTTTGATAAGAGTTACTTTTGTTGTATTCAGTGGTTTTTTTGTCTGTTTGCAGGCTAAGCAGAATGGGATCATGGTCCGTAAGATCATGTTCTAGTACAGCGGTATTAATCTGATTAAAATATGTTTCACAACACTTAACAAAATAATGGTCCAGGCATGATATAGAGTCAGCTGTTTTCCTTGTCGGTTTATTGATCTTACTAACAAACCCATGGCTTTGCATCATTGTTAAGTAATTGTTAGTCATATCCTCCTCTACCTTTGGAAGGTCTATATTTGTGTCACCAGTAAAAATGTATATTTGATTCTGATCATTGATTACCCTTTGCATTACAGAGTCTAGGTTGTAAATGAAACTCTCTTTTGTTAGACCGAAGCCTTTGTATGTTGCCAGGATGTTAACCAATAAATTATTTTTCTGCAAAGTCACCTTTATGATTCTGAGTTGTTCCTCCACCAGCATCTCGTGTCCAAGAATAGGTCTTGCTTAACATACACTACGCATCCATCACACCGGTTTAAGTTGCTTTCATTAAATATAATGTTGTACCCCGGTATATTAAAATCAGGGCAATTATATATATATATATATATATATATATATATATATATATATATATATATATATATATATATATATATATATATATATATATATATCTACAAAGTATTACTGAGCCTCCCCCCATGTTAAATTTCAGGTTCACTAAGACTCCGCTGTTACTGGGCTTCCGATATACGGATCCCCAGTGACAACCCATTGAAAATTGTTCCAGATGATGTAGACACCCTAAAACACCCATTAACACAAAAATCTCGAGGACGCCCATTTGAGCCGTTTTTTGATCCTGTATAAAATATTAGTTCAGGCGTTCGCCGCTTGGTGCGCTGCTAATATACATTTCGCTGTGTATAAGATGTTTAATGTTACATGTCAACTGGGCGCCTTAAGCTATTCGCTGCGCGCTTTTGGTTTGGCAACGTTGCAGTTGATTATATATACGTACTAGGAGGCTTGGTAGTTTTGACTCTCGACTCGGGTCAGTCTAAAAATTAAAATGAACTATTTTCGATCTTGAACGCGACAAGTACTACAGAGCGCCGTAGAAAATAAAATGCCACAATAAACATTTTTGTTTTAAAAAATGTTTAATAATTTTTTGGTTGATATTATTTAAATAATAAGGTTAGCACCTTGATTAGTACGTATATTTAGGCATTATTATAAAAGTAAATAAAAAGAAAATTCCAACTCAAATGTGATATATGACCAAGACGTAAAATAAAATAAGTAAACTTTTTATTTTAATTTAGTTTATTTTCTCATAATTCAATATATCTTGTAATCATCTTGTAATGACGTTAATGACAGTATTTTATAAATAGAACACCCTATATTTTTACCAATTTTACAAGAACAAGTTACGTATTGTATCAGGGATCCTTACTGGGCATTGCCCACTAAAAGGACACGTTAAGTAAACTAAGAGTAGTAGAATATAGTGAGTAGATTCTGTGAAGAGGAAGACAAAACCTCCATT